ATGATGCGGCATTTGAAGCTCTCATGGTAGATATTGAGCTCTTTCATTGATTTGTTGACAGAGTGACCAGGGCAGCAACAGCAGAAATCTTTTCTCTCCTCTCTCCTTTAGAGTTCAGGGTTACCTGGATCGTTTCCAGAGTCCCATTTTGGACTTCAGAAGCTGTGTGGGTACCTACATCCCATCTGTAGCCTCGTGAGTTAAATACACAACTTTCTACCTTTGATGCCCACCTTGGGGGAGATAACACAATATCATCATTATTCTCAGTTTTATAATCAGTTTTAAAAATTAAGTCAAATGTTTAGTAATAAAAATAATGATATTCAATGTAAGCCTGAAAAGAATGAAAATAATTTCAGAGCATTTTTAACACTGAATTTTCATTGTGGGTATTTCAGCTGCTTCCCTCTTGGCGAGGCTTGTTCATTTGTTCCTCCTGCTGTGTGCTTTAAACAGTAAGACCTGGGCTGCTACTAAGTGGGAGAGTGCCACAGGTGCTGAGCAAGCCTTGTTCATCCCACTTCCTGTAGATTAAGTCTGAATAGGTAGAAAGCCAAGATTGACACTGGAAATGTCAGGCACATAGAGCCAGGGTTAATGTGTTACTGGTGTTATGCCAGAGAACATGATTGCACACTGTTGTATTGGGTTTGCATGTCCAGATTTTGGTAGCAGGACGTGGCTACAGGGGTAACTTCTGTGAGAAAGTGCCAGGAGCTTCCCCCGTGCCCAGTGGAGGCAATGCCAGCTGTCTCTAGGATGGACCCGCTGCTCGCCAAGGCCAAGCCCAGCAGTGATGTCTCCAACGCCTCTGGGATAACATATTTAAGAAAGAAAAAAGTTAGTGCTCGGAGAAAATTGCAGGCAGAGAAGAGCAGAGTGAGAATATGTGAGAGGAACAGCTCTGCAAACACCCAGGGCAGTGCAGAAGGAGGGGCAGGAGCTGCTCCAGGTGCAGGAGCAGAGATTCCCCTGGGATTCCTTGGTGAAGCCAGTGGTGAGGCAACTCTGCCCCTGCAACCCATGGAGGGCCACAGGGGTGCAGAGATCCACCTGCAGCCCCAGGGAGGAGCCCACGCCCGAGCAGGGTGATACCTGAAGGAGGCTGTGACCCCATGGGAAGCCTGTGACACAGGGCACAAATAAAATTACTCAGAGCTCTAGGTGCAGGAGTTGCCTGAAACATGCCATATGGCTGAGTTCAAGGTCAAACTTCAAGAGCAGATTGTCAGAATGTGGCATCTGGAGACCCCAGTGCCCAATTTCCCATAGCTGTTCTCAGTGCAGAGACTAGCACACACATCACATCACATCACATCACCCTCCTGCTCTTGGAGCCCTTGCCCACAGCACAGTCAGTGCCTCACTCTGGAATGTCACCTTACACTCTTTCAGACATTTACCAACAGGGAATTTCCAGTCCTGATGTGGACTGGTTGCCTTCCTCTTGTGCTAGCTGTAGACTTACAATGAGACATTCACATTTTAAATATGGTGCAGTGACATCAATAGTAATAATTATTGCATGCATCAAAGCTTTGGAGATTAGCCATGGATCATGCACCTAAATGGCAAATGGTTATAATAGCTCCGTACGTGAAACATCAAAGTCTGAGGAAACATTGCTCTGTTATAAAAAATACATCAGAATGATCATTCCACTCCAAGCAAAATGCAGAACTGTAGACGTGCATGGAACAAATGCAACACATTTCATACTCATTTGGGTGTTTCAAGTATGGGAAAAATTGATTCCACAGCTCCAATTACCAATCCACATCAAGTGAAGACTGTATTGAAGTGATGAGATTTTGAACAATATTAGGCTTAAGTTGACTCCTCCTTGTGAAAATGTATTTGTAATTAGGGCCTAGAAAAGCAATAAGAAGTATTTGGGGTTTTAATTTTTTATATGCTCCCTGACAGAGAGAGAAGTGGCTGAGATTGCATAAAATTCTTAAACCCATGATGTTTCAAGTATCCTTTTGCTGAATTGAAATGGGTCTCTCATAGATTAAAGGAACTGCACTGTTGTTTTCTTTGCTAGGAGAAAAGTATTCCAAGCAGAGCGAAGCACAGGCTCTCTCTGCTGAGCCTGGGGACAGCTACTGAAATAAAAAAATGCAGAACAGTCACTAGAATAACAGAACCTCTGAACTCAGCAACTGAAATTCCCAATTACAGATGTGCTGCTGTTTCTCCTGCCTCATCACAGCTGTTTTGCTTGATCACTCCCCCAGCCCCAGTGGGACGAGCAGTGTGAGGATGTGATGCCACATGTGCTCCGACAGCCAAATCAAAGGCCCAGCCAAGCTTGTGTCTCAGCCATGAATCTGGAAGAAATCAGAGATCCTCATTAAAGTTTCAGAAAAACCTAACTGGTATGAGGACAGCATTCAAAAATGTATTTGGGGGAAAACAAATATTGTTTTAACTCTATTAATAATTGATGTGTTGCCAGCAGAGATCCTCCTAGCATTAAGGGAATTGAAAATTAAAGGCACAAAGACACTACTTTAAGAAAACATCTTGATAAATAATTAATATGGCATAGGCCTACTGGAATATGAAGACTGTAGGTTTTAGCTTGTCTTGTCAAACCTATGCTTTCTAATACCACAGTTTCTTTCAGAATGAGAGCATGGTCATTTTTGGTTTAAATCAACAAAAGCTTGAGTTGTTTATGTTGCTTAACTGGAATAATTCACTGGCTTCTGTTAGTGGCTTTGCTGAGCCCTTGGGATCTTAGAGCAGGACATACTCAAAGGGCATGTCTTTCTTAAATCAAGATGAACAACAAATTGCTGATTATTTAGAAAACAGAAGAGACTATGCCTGTTTCAGGAAAACTACTGCTTGTCAGGGTCAAACTAGATAGAATAAGAAAGCCTGCTGGAAGAAGAAACTCTGGCAATACCTGTTTAGCAATACTATTTATAAATAGCTGGGAGAGATGCCTTGGGAACAGCTACTGCTTTAGTTTGTGTGTTACTAGAAATATGAATTTTCAATGATGAGGCCAATCTTGGGGACCAAACTGAAAAACCCAGTGGCTGGCACTTCCCTTGTGCATTCTACTTTGTGGGGATCTTAAGGATAGGAAATTGTGCAGCCCAGCATTCCACAGAATACAAGCCTACCAGTATGACCAAAGAAAGGCTGGACACAGACTGTGCTGAGGGAAGTAAATATGGAATTTCTACATTTCCCTCCAAAGCAGTTGTAGCACTGCTGTGAGCAGAGCCTGCGGGAGCAGCGTTCGGAGACACGGCTGAAGGGTTTGGCTTGGTGGACAGAACCTGACAGAGACATTGCAAAGCAGAATACTGAGCACCATGTTAACTAACAGAGCTGCTGCCACCTCTGAAAGCCTCTGTCTTGCTGAAGGGCCTGCGGGCTCTTTAAACTTCCAGTTTATTCCAGTCCATTCCTATCCTTTAGGCTGTTATAATGAAGCAGCTAGTAAGTCAGGCATAATTTCTGGCAGGCTTTTCAATTTAAGAAACTGCACAAGAGCATCCAGAAGACTATATTTATCATTTAATTCCTTTAAATAAAGCAAAAGTGAATACTGCTTCTTCATTAGAAGAACTTTAGTTCAGTACTTTAATGCAAAAGGTTTGTTGAGATTGATGGAATTCATAAACACCCTTTATTTACTACAGCAAAGTTAATAATTAAGAAGAAGAGAGAATATACATGAATGCATGAATGCTGTTGTAAAAATAATTCCTACCTTAGTTCCAAGGAAAAAGCCCATGTAAATTGGTGATTGAGAATATAAGGGTGTTCCACTAGAACTATAAAGGGGAGTTTTTTCCATTCGTGATAAGGTAATTGTGGTGGTGAGGCACTGGCAAGTGCAAATTACCCAGACTGCAGCCGGGTGTGTTCTGTCTTGGGTGGGTGTCCCTCCGTTCCCGGTGCACCAACAGCACCCGCAGCACCTGCCTCGTACCCAGCGGGAGCTCTCCTTCCTGCCACTGCCACGGCACCTGCCCCGTACCCAGCGGGAGCTCTCCTTCCTGCCACTGCCACGACCGCCAGCAGCACTCAGGCCCTTGTTGAAACGAGTGTAAAGCTCGTGGACTGGCAGTGCTGGGAGGGTTGGGCCTGACATGCCTGAGGAGGGCTGTGGAAAATTGCCTCTTGCCTGCAGTGATTCCCCTGAAAGAGAGTCCAGTTGGTGTAAGTATGGTTAGTTGCTCTATGGCTGCTGGGCAGGGTGGGTGCAAGTGCTGTGCAGGGGCTGCTCCTGGGCAGCCCCAGGAGCTCCTCAGCCTGAGTGCCACGAAGGCCAGAACTGCTGTCCTGCAGGGAATGGACACCTGCAAGGCTGTGTCTTCCCACAGCTGTCCTCCCATCCTGCTGCAGCTGCTGCAGCAGCTCCTTGGTTTTTCGATGAGTCTTTGCCTATGGCTCTCTGTCCCTCTGCTGCCAGAGCTGCCTTGCTCTGCCCTGCCTTCCTCCCACTATCCCTGCCCTGCCTGCTGCCTGCCCCGCCTTCCACCATTGCTTCTGCTGCATCTTTCTCTCCTGATGTAGGGAGAGCATTTCCCATCCTGCTGCTGGCTGGTGGGGATGTGTCCGTGCCTGCCAAACAGCCCTATTGTTAGTTAAAGATGCTGACTCTGGGAGTCCCATCCTCATCAGGCAAAGCTGAGAGTCTGTCTGATTTAACAAGGCAGGGAAACAAGCCAGTCAGTTATCTGAATCTGAAGCATATTCTAGAAGTGATTAGCTGCCTAAACTTACTCTGTAATTATCTCTGCTGAGTGGTTTCTGCACATCATTGCCCATTTTTCTGACTGTTTTTATTTAAGTTGATAATGGAAAATGAATAAAGCCTTAGTTCCACTCTGATTTTGACACTTGTGCCAGAAAATATCTGAAGATGAATATTTCTGTGTTCACAATAGTTAGATTAATATTTAATTTTTTGGCATCCACCAAGCTGATTAGTTTTCCTCTGATATGGCTCCACTTTGTAATTACAGGAACTGGCTCCTCCTGGGGAGGAGAGTGCCTGGGGTAAGAAGCTCGGAGATCATCCTGACGTCACTGCAACCATGATTTCACCAGGCTTGTGCACTGTGAGGTTATCGCGATCTGAAATCTCTGCTGCTGGAAAGAGGTACAGGTATATGTGACCTGCTCCATGTCTTCTGAGGACAGACAAGATATGCCCTTGATTGCGTTTATACTGAAGGGAATAGAGTGGAAACAAAGTGCAGCTGTGTTGTCTCAAGGAATGTGTGATCCTTGCCTGCCACAGCAGGCCAAGCCTTCCTTAAGGGACACAGCCCACCTGGTGCTTGGTGAGACATGGGGGGCTGGCTGACTTGGGGCCTCTCTTTGTCCTCAGCCATCAGCAGGTGTTTGTGAAAAGCCTGTAGAAGACAGGGTGAGGATTACTTGAGATCATGATTGCAGTCCTTCTGGAGCAGTGGTCGTATCTGTCCACTGCACTGAACTAGCAGGTGGGGGTTGTGCTCAAGGAGTGACTCTGGAGCCTATTGAAACCCCTGAGTACATCTGGACTCCACAGCATTCCAGGTAAAGAGCCACATGCGATTCAGGGGTCACACTGCCCTTCTTCTGTCAGCCTGATAGCAAATAATTTCCCTGGCACCTCATGATTCCTATGCTATGAAAATGAGCTAGTGCACATTTGGTGTGTGCTGAGGATGCCTCTGGCTGGGGACAGTCCCACTTTCCTCACTGTGTTGTCAGGCGAGTTGTCCACCCGTGTTTGGCTGGACCCTCTGGGGGTGGGCAGGGGGGGTCAGCCTACACTTGGGGATGCAGAAGCAACAGGCAAACTCACATCCTTTGTTTCTAGGACCACCCAATGCTTCCTTCACAAATGGGACTACCGCCTGTGGCTCAGTCCTCCCACAGATTGAGCCTTCCCTATTTGCTCAGAGAGCAACTATCGCTCAGAATCAAATGCAGCCTTTAGAATTAACCCATCTGTAAAGGCCAGTGAGTCTAGATTCCCCTGACCAGCCATGCACTGCAACATCTCATCTCAGTGCCATATTTATCTTGCACTGTCAGTTTTACCTAGCTCCTAAGCACTCAGGAACAGCAGTACTGTCAGGGTGTTGTTATTCATTTGTTTTCTCCAATTGAAGTATGTATCATTGTCATAATCTGGCACTTTGCACTGGGAACAAACTCCCTGTGTGGACAGGGATCAGGGCCATTTTTCAAATGCTGCTGACTGTTAATTTGTACACTGTTTGAAGGGAAAAGATCTTGTTAGAGCTCCATTGTACACAATACTTCATCAGGGCATAGTAGGCAGTTGTCTCCAGTAGTCAGGTGACAGGGTGCTGGTGACAGGGGTGCAGTGCGTAACCTCCATGGGCAGCATGTGCCCAGCTCTGCGTGCACAGTTCTCATTTGTGCACCCGAAGCTGATCAGGTGAACCTCATCCAAATCCATTTGTTCAGCAAATATAGTATAATAGCTGCTGGCTGCTCAGCCTCCATCCCATATCACCATCCTCCAGAACTGTGCTAAAACCTGATCATTGGGAAGTTCAGGTGTTTTGTTTAGCTGCAGTACGCTCCCAGCTGGGTGAGAAAAGGGATGGCAGATACTGCAGAGCTCACAGTTCAAACACCAGCTCCCACAAGCTGTGTGTCCTGTTTGCTTCCAGACCAAAGAAGCAAGTGGAACGGCTGCTGGTGCTGGGCTGTCCCGAGCTGTGGTGGGTCCCTGGACTTCCTTCACAAATGGGAGGAAAATAAAAAAGGAAAATTAATCTACCAAGGGCAAACGAATCAAACCAGCAACGCCTGCTACAGCTCATGGCCTGCTTAAACACTAGCACATTTGTTGCAACCATTTAGTGACCCGTGCTCTTCTCAGATTCATCTTATGAAATGGAAAAAGCAATTTGTCTGCCCACGTGCCCTGAAGTACTGATATTTGTTAAATCCACTGCTTTGAAAGCCCTATATTTGAACTACTGGATATGCAGAGAAGAAAGCAAATAAAGCTGGCTGTGATATGTGCGTTTCGTCTGGGTAATATTCCGATAAGGCCTGATTTATTACCTTTATGTCTTAAGGCCAGGCAAATCTCATGGGGTCAGTCATAAAGTATGAGGCAGGAGAAGGAGAGCTTGAGAAAGTAGAGGCAGAGATCCTCTTTGCCTCTGGAGGTCTCTGAGTGTGTCCTTTCCAGGGTTTCTAGTTCAGGCTGTGCTTTCTGGTTCACCATCTGTCTGGTACTTCAGCTGCCTCTCTGTCCTGGTGCCAGGCTCCTGCACACTGCCCTCAGCATGGCTGCAGGGAGCCCTGCTGCTGCCTTGGCTCTGGGGTGTCAGCGTGGTGCCCACACCTGCCTGGGGTGCCCACAGCACTCTCCCTTGTGCTGTGTTCTCCTTTGCAGAATCTGATCTTCCTCATCTGAAAAATGATTACAGTAAGAAAGTGCAAGCTGAAACCAAGTTATAAATGACAGAAGCAATGCAAGTATCACCAGTGAACTGGGATTAATAATAAAAGAAGACAAACACAAGGCACACAGAGTATTTAAAACCACGATACCTTGGGATATTTCTAAATGAAAAAAAAAGATTTCACACTGAAATTGCAAAATTATTCATCTCAGTTTGTTAATTCTGCCCAAACTAGCAGTACCTAAAGAACTGTAACATTATCTGCTAACTTCAGGGAGTCTTGGCAGGTGAGCAGAGCAGCAGAGCTGTGGTATCCTCGCTCAGCGTGGTGGGCTCTGTGGGATGGCAGGTCGGGAGGGGGCCCTGCACCTCTGTCCAGTGCCCTGTGCTGGGCCCAGTGTGCTGGGCAGGCACAGGAGCTCCCAGCACTGTGCGGGTCAGCAGCTGTCCTGTCACGTTACTCCTTCGTGTTCTGAAGTAGGGGAAGAAACTGAAGCACATGAGGATCAGAATCTCTGTGGTGTCCAGCACCTTTCATGGGGAACTTGGAGTGAGATCACAGAAATCTTCCAGAAGATTGTTTCATTTTTAACAATCTAGGATTATAGTTTGTCTGTTTAATTCAACCTGAGTGACATAATAGCTTTCATTTGGACTTATTACCAGCAGAGCAGTCAGTCAGCTGGAAGCAGACCTAGGGCAGGGCATTTTGTCATTATTTTAAATTTTCTCTATCTGACAAAATTGAAGGTCTTGAAAAGACTGGAGCCATTGTAAAGGATAGAACATCAGAGAATAGGTCACACAGTGTGTTAAAGAATGAAAATTGATTCATTCTTTCCTCTGTTGAATAAGCAACTGTACTTTGGTCCCTGTGATCCATGAAATAAGCTGTCAGAGAAACAGGAAATGTGCCACATTTGAACTTCACTCATTGATTCCGTTCTGATCTGAGGTGCAATATTAAAATGCATTATGGTGGGTGCAGAATCTGCAGCAGTGACAGCAGCTAGGCCCAGCTTGCTCACTAGTTATCTGGGCTATTTGTAATTAAATTAATCAGTGCTTTACAATGTTGGGACTCATTTACTTAGGTCATGTGGTCAGAGCCAGCTGACAGGAGGAATTTCACAAAAGCAACATTTGTTAGACTGAAGAAGAGGCTCATGGTTTTATCATTTTATTCCCTTTAATATGGAGAAACAATTTGCAGGCAATTCAGAAATTCTGACAGCAATCAATTTAAGAATGGGAGAATGGGTAGCAGAAAATTCTGGAATTTGGAATTACTAGCTGGAGCATGTTAGGCCAGTTAATGCCTGCAACTCTAATAGATAGCCTAGTGTTTAAGTAGCATCCAGAGGACTGTCTGCAACTACGATTTGCTATGTTAAGTCTGTTTTATTCATGCTGAAGTGTCTTTTGCTTCTTTGGTGAGTTCTTAAAAGTTTTATTAACTAAAACATCATTTTTGCTGCCTTTGCTTTATTTGCCTCAAAATTGTGATTCATAAAGATGGATTTTTATAATTAAGGTAGAAATGAGAAATAACCCCCTATATATAATTTAAAAATGTTGAAATTACAGACACTATCTAACTTCTGCTTTAAATCACAGGAACAAACTGTTCTCCATTAGCAGCCCTAATTAAATCCATTTTTCTGTGAGTCTTTGGCAAATTCCATTTTAGTAAAGCTGTATTAAACTCTCTTTTATTTCCTCTTGCTTTGCAGAATTCTCTGTTTGAGATGAATAATGGGTTGAACATGGTATATGACAGCTCTGTAGACTCCAAAGATAGAACATGAACAAATACATTGTTCTGGAGAGCTGGCATGAGAACGCTGCTGAGGATTTAGAAGCATTCCAACTACCAGACAGGCAGGAGCAGGACCATCCTGGCCTGGGGAGTTTATATGTGATACAAGAATGGGCAAACATTGTGTAGCACAGAGGCTGTGGAAAGGTGGAGGAGGCTTGGAGAAGGGAAGGAGAGGGAGTGGGCTAAAGCAGGGAGCGTACTGTTTGCCATTGGCACAGAACATTGGGGTGTTGCACTCCTGAGCTCTGAGGTACCATCATCTGTGCCCTGCTGGTGTTTCCTAGGCCTTGGGTGAGGAATGAGCAGTTGCAGAGGAGTGGAGAGAACTTCCAGAGGTTAGTCAGCGCTGCTTTTCCTCAGTCCATGCCATCATATGGAGATGTGCTTTCCATAAGACTGTGCATGTGGCCTGTAGCATCTGTCTGGGTCGTTGTGTTGAACCTGTCTAGCAGGAGCCATGCTCTTGCTGACCTCAGACCTGTTTCTGCACGTAGATCAGAACCTGGCCTGGGTCAGTGCTGCTGTGCACCAACAGCTTTGTTAGGGTGATTCTGCCTGGAGACTTGACTGAGGAAGCAGTGCACAGACCAGAGAACCCACCTGAAAGAGCCGCTCATTTTGCAGTCCCCGTGCATGAAGATTAACGTACTCCCAAAAACCTGCCCCAGTCCCAGAGCAACGGGCTCTGTCCTGTCCTCCAGCACCTCCATCACTCATTTACTGCAACAATTGGCTTCAGCCTTCGATTTCCTCTGTGGAGCGTATTGGAAAGAGAGAGGCTGAGCTGTGAACATTAATAACAATGAATAATAACAGTACGAGTTCCACAAGCTTTAACAATCAAATGAATCAGCAATCTGGAGGGTTTCATTAATAAATACTTGCTGGAGTTAGATG